TTTTATGAGTTGCTTGCGCATCTGCAATATAGGCCTAACAAATATAAGAAGACTCATTGTGTTTACTTTTGATTGTTAATTGAATTACCCGCTTAGTAACTAAAAACGTAAACCATCAATTAAAGTTTAACTGTTACTTACATACCGTACACACTTATATTTCCAATGGTGCGTTCTTAAAAGTAAAATTGGTTTAGTTGTAAAAAAGTGTGAATTACAGTAAAACATAGTTTTAATTTATATAAGTTATAATTGCAAACATTTAAAACTCCAAAAAGTCAATAACGTAAAATGGCTGGTTTTTTCTACATTTTTTTTTTGGCCAACTCGTCAATAACTTAACATCATCAAAGTTCATTTTCAGATTTACCTACATCACTTTCTGTACACATCATCATTTAGGCCCAAATGATTTTAATGACCGTAAAAACTAGGCTACTTATTTTAGGAACTTTTTGTAACACTTTTACCTTACGAATCTTTTATGTCGCCCTCTTTCTAAAATCACTGCCACTTGGTTTTTTGCTCATTTCACAGAAAAAGGGTGTGATATTACAACGTAAAATAACATCCTTCAAACTTAAATAAAATCATAAGCAAAAACACGGCCAGTATCTTTACTTGCTAACAAATTGATACTGTAATAAGTTTCTCGCCATTTGAAAAAAGCAACTGACATTGAGTATAATGAAAAAAGGACATAACAAATTAATAGCCTACAAATAAAGACAGACGATTAAGTATAGTTAATGATAGGCCTAATATACAAACAGTGGCAGTGATGAGTCATGAGTGGAAGACGAAGTGAGGAGGTTTCAGATATTTTCCAATTAGTGTCTGTTACTAGCGCACCCAACAAAACAAAAAAAACTCTTGCGCCCCTGGACCAGGGCCCATTTTTAACCGCGGTACTGGGTAAGTTAAAACTTTCATCCCTAGATCTTAGAAAGACAGCTGTGATGTCATAGGCATATTTGATATACATTTTGATAGCGTTGTTACCCTTCAAAGTGCCATCTATAAATAAATCGTACCCTAGGCTATTATGTGCCAAGCCTTGATAAAAATTACTAAACGTAGGTAGCTGCGATGTTGTTTCATAAGTTAGACCTAAGTTAATCGTAAACAAAAAAAAAAACATACCGGTAGCTAAACCTAACCTAGCCATAACCTACTGATCGCAAACGCGGCACCTTAAGTTATTTGTTTGACATTTCCTTTCGATAGTTTGGAAGGACGTAGGCCTAATTATAAAGCTGCAGCCTTCTGGGGTTACAGTTCCGCAGAGAACCTGCGATCTTATTAAGTTATCAGATCAATAACAATTTATCAATATTTTTATAAATATTAACATAGGCCTAGGCCTAAGTTTAGGCCTAGTTAACTTTAATATTGCATTGACTTTAATTTTCCCAGTTAGCTTATACATTAAGTTATAGGCCTAAGAGGCTAACTTTATGTTTTCTTTTGTTGCTTTTTCATTAAATAGGTTAGGCTATATTTGGCTAGTAAGTTACCGTCTCAGGCTATATTTTGTTTGTGGTTAAATATGCTTATAGGCTAGTTAATATCGATAGAAACGTAGGCAAAACAAATCATAGGTCAATTTGATATTTACATTGGGAAGAAGAATAAACATTTAATTTAACTTACCAAAGATATTTATCATTAAGTCATACATCTGTTCACAGATCACAGGTGCTCTTCGGAACTGTAAGTTAAGTTACCCCCTTCTGGTCTTAAAATATTCATCTGCCTACAAGACTAGGCCTGAATTTTAACATAACCTTACCAATTAACATCATTTTTAGTCTTAACTGTAAGTTAGGCCTAGGCTAACTTATGACAGGTTCTAAGTAACTTAGGCATAAGTTTAGCTACGGTACGGTATTTGTTAAGTAGACCTAGGCCTAGCTTGTCTCCAAGCTAAATTAGTTCAGACCAAGGACATATTGCAATGAATTAGGTCTAGGTTATCTCCTGAAGTTGGCTTCCTTAGTTTTGTAAACTACAGCCTAATTTTTCCCTAAAGAGCCTCCATCCGTAGAGTTTTTAAGGGGTTAGGAAGGCTATTGTAACCTATTTCCACTTATAAAGTATTTAAATTAGATTACCACCATAACAAAACATATGCTAAATCTCTTAATAACTTACAATAACGATAATAATTATTTGTGTAACTTACCTTAACTCAAGTTGGTCGAATCGCCACTGAAGTTAAAAAGTCGAAGATGTAACGCAAATCTTAAAGAATATAAAGTAAAAAGTAACTAATAGACCTATTTAATAAGTAAATAATAACAAAACAACGAATTCTTCACGTGTAACACTGAAAATCAGAAGTAGATGCTCTAGTCTAAACACAGCCACAAGGACAACGTTTGTTGTGAGTTGTGAGACAAAGACATTAGACAAACAATATGGCGGTGGCGGATCGGATCGGATGCTGACCCCCGCTGTTTTGCTCCCATAATGCATCAGCGAACATCGTCGAACCTAAGAAAACGCAGAGACTCGGGTATCTCGCGCGGCAGAATATTTTGTTCATCATCTATGAATATTATAGTATAGTATGTGTTACAAATACATTTTACACAGGATGTTGAAAAAATGCAGGGAAATAAATACAACACTACAATTTTTTTCGTATTTTTCTATTGATATAAAATACATATATTATCTGTATCATCAATACCTTTACTTATTTTACTGCATTCTCGAAAGTTAATTTATGCCCTCAAAACAACATTTAGGTGAAAATTTACACTTTGTTTCTTCATTTTACAGTATTTTATGCAAAATTTATTTTGGATGAAACCGTATTTTCATATTGGTATATAATATGTATATTATCTGTATCATTAATACATATACGTTGGTTATACCTTAATCCCGAATATTTACGTATTATATACATTGCTTGCTACATGGGAGGTCATTCGGATTATCAGCCCGCAACGCTATCCACTGCACCACTGAGGCCGATGGCTCAAAACTGTATCGTTGCGGTATTAGTGTTCCTTAAAGTGACGTCAGCAGTTAGTGACATCAAACGGCACCTGAGAAATCTTCCGTGTGCCGTTTCGTCTATGATGGAGCTGTTTGTTGACTAATTTGTTTTAACTAATATTTCTTAATCAAACAAATTTTATATTTATATAAGAAGAAGTATAATTGTATGAAATAAAATACAATGGTATTGTTATGTAGGCCTTATAACAGAATGGTTTTTGAACCGTTGGCCAATGTGTATGTGCATAGTTTGTTTATTTAACTTTTGTAGTTGTAAGTACCAAGCCTATTGTGATGCTTGTGAAACTAATTTAAAAATGGCAGAATTGCATAATAAATATTATGTAATACAATATTTATTTTTTATCGTAATTGTTTCTTTAATTTGAACCTTTAAAAGATACTGTTTTTAAGAATACATTAACCAAAATTATAAACACAGCAAGAACTTTTTATATTATTGACCAATTTGTTGAATTTCTATTTGTTTTGGGAAAAATTGCAAAAATATTGTTATTGTGCCAGCCATAGTCAGTAACAAGGCTATAAGATCGCGCAACAATCATGACAATCATCACACTCATCCTTCATTCATATTCAGGTTAAAATACCCACTAAGTGAGGTCCCTGTCTTAAAATAGTGATATAGCTGACGTAACCCGCTTCGCTGGGTATTTAAATTAAATAAGAAATTACAGCTTTCGATTTACATTAGCAGACAAAATTCAAAAAGTATAGTAAAAATAATAAATTGTTTATCAGCTGTTGGAAATTAAACACCTTTATGTATGTTCAACTCTTCCCTTTTATTTAGATTTGGGTCCTTAGGAAAAACTAGTTCGAAAAATGAATATGTTACCTCCAATTTTCTCATTGAGACCTTTCATCTAAGTATAAGGTTGATGAATGTCAGACTTATGGTTTTCTCAAAAGTTAATGATAATCGAGGCTTCATAGATAGAAGATAGAGAATGTGTCTTAAAGAACAACTGGCTTTAAAACTAAATGTGCCAAAGAATTTCAGAGAAAAGAATCAACCCTCTAGACCTTTTCTGCTAATTTATATTCCTAGGAATTTTTTAAAAAGCTGAACGGAACCAACCCACAAAAACATAGAATAACAAATTAAATTACAATACCTAAATGTATACCCTTTACACATAAAAAAATCTAGAAAAATAGTAATTCATCAAAACAATTCCTGTATCTCTTGGTTAACAGTGATTTATAGTAATCAATCAAATTTATAGGCTTCTAACTCAAAATTGACCCAGTGTGGGTTGGTTCCTTGCGGCTAACACAGAGATACGCGTCCGGTAACCAGACGTGGATTAGGCGTCCGGTAACCAGACGTGGATTAGGCGTCCGGTAACCAGACGTGGATTAGGCGTCCGGTAGGGGGTCCCGGAACGCCATTACCACAATGATACACGATATTCAGCCATCAGTGTTCGTGGTTCGTGGTGTAGTGGATAGAGTGCTCGACTGATATGCGAGAGGTCCCCGGTTCGAAACCCATCGGTAACTTTAACTTTTTGTCACAGATTTTGCTTTGAATGTAATTTCTTCTTAACTGTACATCTTTTGTTAGAATTTTTGGCATTTATAATTTTATGTTATGAAGAGAATTGAACCTTCATTTGATTTTTTTCACTATCAGCAAGTTTGGTTGGTTAGGTTAGGTTATGACAGTAACTGCCGGACGCCTAATCCACGTCCGGTTACCGGACGCGTATCCTCTGCGTTCTGCTAAAAGCGGTCCAAACAATAACAATAAACATAACCTCAATTAACCACCAAACCAAATCGTTCCGATTCCGATTCCACTGTCCCGGACGCGGTGGTGGGGGGTCCCGAGTCCTGTTTGAATGGAGTCGTCTTTTTTTTAGGAGTTTGATTGAAATTTTGAAATTTACCATCCCACCGAAACGCTCTCCTCCTATCTCGTAGACCTAGGGTACACTGGTACACTAACACTAGTAACACTACAGTACCTCTACCGCTCTACCTCTAACCTTAACAACCGTTAGTAACCTGTAATGTGATTGATTAGTTTATTAACATTTTACAATGTATTATTTGTTATTTATTTCGTTATAAAATATGTTTGGTAATTATTTGGACGTAGTGACTACTCGCAAAAGTGAAATTCTGTTTTTCATAATGACCTAAATTTCACGCTGAATCCGAAAATGACGTTTTTATTTTTCGGAAAATACCGGAAATTCCCGAAAAACGGGAAATTTTTTTTTTACTCAAAATAGGGTACGTCAACCTAATCAAACCTAACCTAACCTAACCTAACCAAGCCTAACCTAACCGATTATTCAGTTTTTTCGCCCTATCTCCGGTGTTTTCATCGGATCAAAAAATGGTTCGTGAAAATCTCGCTTATTTGACGTCGGATCAAAACAATTCTTGCATATTTTTAATCTACACAATATTCCGCGTATTTTTAGTACCCACATGACGTATTTTGAGTAAAATTTTTTTCCCGTTTTTCCCTTTTTTCGGGAATTTCCGGTATTTTCCAAAAAATAAAAACGTCATTTTCGGATTCAGCGTAAAATTTAGGTCATTATGAAAAAAAAAAATTCCCTCTTGCGAGTAGTCACTACGTCCAAATAATTACCATATGTTTTAATGATTTTTTAAAGGAGTTAAACTTATAAAAATATGTTTAAATGATTTTTTAAAGGAGTTAAACTTAGCTAATTTATTATTAGGCCTATTCACATTTACCCTGCAGAATGAGTTTCCTTGCAGAAATCTTAGCCTCTCAAGGTAAGCCTAGTCCTACGCAATCATAACTAACATATGATCATTTTTAGGCCTAAGTTATGTAGGTTTAAATGTTGTCTGTTAAGCCGGGTTTACACTATGTAGCAAAACCTGCTATGTAACATTGTTATAGGCCTATAACCTTTGCTATAAGTTATGGTACAAAAAAGTAACAGACAATTTTAGTGATTCCGGTGCTCGTGCTATAATAGCACAACCTCATTCGCATTCCGTATCGAAAATGTTGTGCCGAAGAGACCTATTTTTGAGTAAAATATTGATAGCTTAGTAAAAAATAAATAAATTTGACAAGTTTGATCAAAATATATCTATAAACAAGCAAACTACAACATTTGACAATATTCTCCATAAGAATATCATGGGAATTTTAAATTTACAATTTTTCAAATTATTTTCGTTACTAATAATTGAACAAAAATACTTTTATATACTAAATTATTTGTTTTTTTAAGCTCTTTAAAAAGGTCTAAAGAGAAATCGGGAAATTTTGTGTTTTGAGGGCCAAAAGTGAAAACAAACCATTTTTTACCCCATAAAACCCCCCGTAAAGCCCCGTTCCCATGGTCCGATCATGCTGGTTCGCGAACTCATCCAAGTTTATCCCGCTTTACACCTTTAAACCAAATTTCATCAAAATCGGATAAAAATTACTCAAGTTATCGCGTTCACGGACGTATATATGTAAGTCTATATATATATACATATATAAAAATTTGAACGAATGGTGTTTCTGGCCTCTGGGGACATCAAAATGAAAAAGTAAATCGGTCCCAGGTCTAGGTCTTACCGTGCCACCTACGGTAATAGCTACTTCCTTATAGGGAATTCGCTAAAAAATAAAATGAAAGCTCAATAGAGCAATGGGGGAATTGGGGCACCATCTTCAAATTGAATGCTTCGAATTTTTCGTCTAGTTCCCCGTAGCCTAAGCAAAACTGCTCGAATGATGGAAAGCTGGCTTTGGATCCTCAACCATCCGATAATTTGGGAGTATAGTTTTCTCCATTTTACAGCCAGGGCTTCGCTTGTTCTCCTCTGAAACACTTCATATTCTTTGTGGGGGACTCCTTTCGTGGAACGTATTAATGGTGTGAAGCTTCCTCTGATGTCTTCGGCTGCTTTGTCATATTTATTGTGTTTCTGAACGGCATGGTTTCGAGATATTGTTCCCCATTCTTGGTTGGCGTAAGAGGGAGCGTCAGCATTAACAATGCGATTATCAAAAAACGCTACTCTCTCAGCCTCCCAAATACCATTAACTTTAAAATCAGCTTTTAAAGCAGGCACATTGTTTGCAGGGTCAGCTTCTCTCATAATAGGCTCGACTTCAACCCCTTTCCAGGCCATATTTGCTATCGCAGCACAGTGGTCTCGATGTTGATCATGCCCATGTTTGATCAATCCTCCTTTTTTACAATTTAAAGCATGTGTAAGATTCATAGGTTGATCACAACCATCACATCGTACTGGTAAATTTCTAAGTGTGCGGCCATAGCGAATTGACAAAGCATCTCTGAATTGATCCGGGGACAAATCCGTATGATCAGATGCACATGGTGTCACAGTTAACCATTGGCTAGTATTCCCTGCTACAATTCTAATTATTGGCTTCTTTTGAGTTCCAGGAAGTTTAGTTAACTTGTTTTGGCTGTGACTGTCATTCATAATGATATTAACTGAGACATTTGTCTCTTTCTGGAACCAAAAGATATTCTTTACAAAATATTTGGGAGACACTCCATCACGTATACAGCCCATCGGGGAGCATACTTTGTTGTGTAGGCTTTATGCTACACAACTCGTTTATACATAACTTATATATACACTAGCTGAGTACCTGTCCTTCGTACGGGGTTGCTGTATAAGTATACAATGCTTATTATTGCAGTTATACTCGTGCTTTGCATTTAAAATGGGAGAGGATATGTTTTAAGAAAATTCGGTTTACTATAATTAACTATAAATAGGAGTATAGCACATCTACCATAGCCATAATGTTCTACCACTTCACCTAAACAATAGAAAGAAGTAAAGTTCTCACGGATTTTTGTTGCTGCTTGGTTCAAATTAGCTGTTGTCATAAATGTATTAAGAACTAATGGTGCTGCACCCTGTTGGTAAACCATATAATATAAACCATATAACCTTTCAATGCTATTGAATGTCATAGAATCAAATTGTGTAGTTGAAACAGCTGGCAAAATTCTTTAATTCCTTTTAAATAAGAATACTCATAAGGTTAACATGGGAAACTCTAGAGCCACTGGGGCAGAGCCCGAAAGGATTTTTGAGGAAAAAATATGCCTATATGTTAATCGGGAATTTGAGCTATCATCATACCAAATTGCAGCACAATCCGACCAGTAGTTAATGTGTGATTGAACTTCAAACAAACAAACAAACACACAAACTTTCACATTTATAATATTAGTAAGATTAATTTGAACGGATAGTCTTTTTGGTCTCTAGGAACCTCAAAACGAAAAAGTAAATCGGTCCAGAGTCCAGGTCTTACCATGAGTACTACGGTAGTGGTATCAATATATTTGTGAAATTTAAGCCCAGTTGGGTCAGTAGTTTTTGTGTTCACCCCGTACTAACAGTCAGACACCACCTCTTCTTTCTATAGGGTAGGCCTAGATAAAGATGGATTGGTACTACATTTATAGTCCGTACATAGGCCTATAGCTACAATGTTTTAAGTTTAGACCTATTGAAGTAATTGGTTGGTAAATCATATGAATATAAACTAGTCTTTTCAGGAGAGGCTGACATGAAGGAACTCAATGGAAAGATTCAAGAAATAAATAAACAAATTTTCTTATTAAAGGAAGAAGTTACATTAACTATGGAAGATATTTATATTAACTACACTTGTGCTCTTGTGGATACAAACCATATGTTGAATAAAACAAAAAATCTAGTAGGTAAAATCAATGATGTGAAGGAACGCATTGATGATCAGGTAAGCATCAATAATATTACTGCTGTTTAATTAATAGTAATCAACCTAGCATTAATTGTAACTATGTAGCCTAGATAGCCAAACGGCTATAGGCCTAGTTCTCGCCTTCAAATCTGAAGGTCGCTGGTTTGACTCCAAACAAGGTCGTAACTGGACTCAGGATGCCATTTTTCATTGGGCTATGTTATCAACACCATCGTCAGCTTCAGGTACATATGTAAAGTTGATCAGTAGTTAACATCGTCAGAAGATAAATACAGTACGAACATGAATAAATACATAAAACAATTAAACATTTAAGAAACAGGCCTGTTCTAACAAAAGATGACCAACTGCACAGGTAGCAAGGGACAGACTAGACCATCCTACAACAGCTGATCCTTGCCCAATATCTCTTTCTCTCTCACACAACTGATAAGCATAAGCTGGTCTAGTCTGTCCCTTGCTACCTGTGTGGTCGTCATCTTTTGTTAGGACAGGCCTGTTTCTTAAATGTTTAATTGTTTTATGTATTTATTCGTGTTCGTACTGTGTTTATCTTCTGACGATGTTAACTACTGATCAACTTTACATATGTACCTGAAGCTGACGATGGTTGTTAACTTTAACACGCAAACATGTCCTGAATTGACATATTTTATTGAGCTGTGATGGGAATACGTAAGTAATTTAGTCTTATATCCTCTTTTAAAACTAAATTTGTTTTATGGATTATGTTTAACAATGTTTCTCTTTGTGGCATCGAAGCCTTAACCCGCAAGAGATCGCATAGCTATCTAAATGACCGGGTTGTTACTTTTTTGCGTACAAATTATATTTATTGGTTGTCGGTATTGTCACCCTTTACCATAACACACCACATTCCAGGAATACTGTGGTCCATTTTTGTCATCCTTCACCTCCTCATTTTAGTCTAGTACTTAGTACGTAGTCTAGTAGTAGCTTTTTGTCATGTACTGGTCGATTCGACTGTGTGCATCTCCTCGTGGTTTGTAAATTAATGCTTATTTTTCTTTTAATTTTTGATTGGCTACAGTTTCAGTTCATTAGTACTACCATTAAATTATGTGCTGAGCCACAGAGAAGTATTTATGTACCTCTCAGTGGCTATGGAATCTAACAAGTGAAGTCTGATTGATAGCCCATTATCGTGTTGAGAGAAATGAGAATGTTGAATGTTTAGTGAAGCTTGTAGGATACTTTCTAAGGCACCTTTCAATGAACCATTGATGAGGGACACGAAAATATTTATGATTAAGACGAATCTTAAAACTTAAAAGGAGTTTTATCTTTCTGTTTCCAAACCAGTTGCTGTAAACCACTATTAATTTACCAAAACCATTTAATTATACTTACATGGCGGTACTCAAAAAAACGCCTAACTAGGACTGCCGGATCACCTGAGCTTGGAGGAGGATGGGCGGTGGTAACAACTAAAGGTACGTTGTAACTGGTGCGGCTGGAACTGCAGTCGTTGGACGATTATCGCTCGGCAATAATCGTTGCAGTAGGCATTGTCACTGGTGCGTTTGTTATACAATCGTTCAGTTAATTCTTGACTGTTGCCGAGTTGAAGTAGGGATAGTGAATTATTAGTTTATAGGCTTTAACAAAATACTATTCATTCATTTGTTAGTTGAAGAGCTAGAAGATGGAGAAATTTTGGAAATAATAAGTGTTCCAAGACTTAGCACACATAGTATATTTACAAAACGAACAGAAGAGGGATACTTAAAAATATTAATAAACAATCATTTGCAAGCTGATGAGAGAATGTTACCTGAGTTTTTCAGACTTTCAAATTGTCAGTTTAAGTTTTTGTCTAGTTTGATCAATGAGGATTTTAAGAAGACTTATTAAAACTACACTCCCTATTTAATCACAGGAGATGAGAAGTTTGCTCTTACGTTAAGGTAGGATAGTTTATTTATAATCGTTAAATTTTTGTATTAAGCTAATAAACTAATAGAATGCTTCGGTATTATTTTTTTTCTTTTTCAGAATAAAACATGTTCAGTATAAAAAAAATTGTAATACCCCATTTGCAGCAAACCTGTGTACTCATGGAGTTTCCAATGCATTTATGTGTGTCTTAATACTACCACATAAAGCCACTAACCAAGTATCACAAAATGCATTAACAATTAAGTAATATATAACATATTAATTATTCTCCATAAGAATAACATTGGGGCTGAGTACACTCAGGGCTCTTAACTCGAGAAAAAGCTGTGAATGCCTCAAAAATCGTCCAACGACTGCGACTCTGACTGCTCCAGGAGCAGACCAGTACAATAGACGTCCACGACTACGATACGACTGCGGCTACAGTTGCGTCAGTGACAACGGTGCCATTAAAAACAATGCTAAGCAGGCGCTCTACGATTATCGTTCAACGGCTGTCGTCCAACGACTGCAGTTTCAGCCGTACCAGTGACAACGTACCTTAACGCGGGAATAGTTATTCCGTTCCTAGTTATTCATTACTATTTTAAATAACCCTGACGTATTCCGCGTTAGTTGTTATTCCGTTCCTAGTTATTCATTACTATTTTAAATAACCCTGACGTATTCCGCGTTAGTTGTTATTCCGTTCCTAGTTATTCATCACTATTTTACTAACATTAACGTATTCCCATTTTAGTTGTTATTCCATTCCTGGTTATCCCGTACTATTTTAAATAACGCTAACGTCTTCCTGCGATAAGACAAAGACCTTTCTTTAGACACCACTACCAACTTTCTATGCCCAGCCGTTCTCTCAAATTAGTTGTGACAAAACCCCCGTTTTTCCTCCATAAGAATAGTATGGGAGTGGAATTTTAAAGGCCACTGGTGCAGAGCCCCAAGGGAATTTACCTCGTTTCTCGTTTGATGGCTCATTCTAGAGACCAAGACATTTCTTTAGACACTTCTACCGAGTTTTTATGTCCAGCTGTTCTCTCAAATTAGTTGTGACAAAGATAAACAGTTCCCAATTAAATATATAGATTTTATAGCCTACGTAATTCAACCACAGAATCTGTATTTTATTTAAATTCATAATTTTAATATATTTTTTTATTCTCTACATTATATTTAACTACCACAGTTGTATACAATGGTAATGAAAAATATCAAAAGATAATACATTTGTGAGCGGAGCAAGCGTGGAAGCTCTTTGAGATCGAGCCTTATGCATTGCAAACTATGAAATTGAATCACTCAATTAACGGCTGAACATATTGAAGCCAAACTTACCAGGGTTATTATGACAAACATTGAACATGTTATTAAACAAACAAATTTCAGTTTGACAATGCCGGTACAGTTTAAAACTAATAAAAAATTTGTTTTAATTTTTGACATTAGATTAAGGATTGCTATGATGACTACAAGATAACAACCTAGATGAATAAAACCCCCGTTCCCGTAGTCCCATCATGCTGGTTCGCAAACTCGTTCTAATAATAAACGTAAGTTTACACATTCGTACCAACTTTAATCAAAATTGGATCTTTTTTGCTCAAATTATTACGCAAACTAATATAATGACACTGCAATAATGACTCTGACACTGCCTCCCCCCCCAGAAACAAAACACATTTGTAACACATTTAATAATTTTTTCTCTTCTGTGGGATCTGAGTTGGCAATGGGTATCACGGCTTCGGGACGACCGGAGGTGGATGACGCCGACCACGCGGTTGATTCTGTATTTGAGATGGTGCCTGTCAATGAGCCCCAGCTTTCCAATTTAATAAATAGTATCAAGGGAGGTTCAGCTCCAGGCTGGGACGACATTCCAGTCAGAATTATTAAAGAAAATGCAAGCCTTCATATTCCAATTCGGCACTTAATAAACACAAGTATACGCACTGGGAACTTTCCTGATATTTTCAAATTAGCTAAGGTTATCCCGATACACAAATCTGGGCAAAAATCTGTCATTAATAACTACAGACCCATTTCATTGTTACCTGTGATAAGTAAAATTCTAGAGAAATGGGTAAAAATTCAGCTCTTAAACTATCTGGAGAAAGAGAATATTATTACAGAAAATCAATACGGCTTCCGAAAAGGATTAAACACATCGGATGCACTCTTTGATCTCACGGGTCGCCGGAATTCTACCCCCGGATATTTACCCCCATGAAAAAACGCCTACGTCATTTTGACGTCACGAGGGGTGGGGCCTATACACGGTCGAGAAACAGCCCGCGACTGGAAATCTACCCCCGGACATCTACCCCCGGACATCTACCCCCAGACATCTACCCCCGGACATCTACCCCCAGACATCTACCCCCGGAAATCTACCCCCGGAAATCTACCCCCGTGGTCAGCTACGCTACGTATCGGCCAAGATGCATTGTTGTAATTGATTTTATTAATTGGTTTATGTAAATAAATGGCTCTTCGGTTATTCGTCAGCTTCTAATATCCAGTATAAAGCATGCGATATGTCGTTTTCATGTTTAACATTATCTATCTTCCTAATTCAATAAGCTGTAACAGTGCATTTTCACCCTACCTACTTCGTCGATTTTTACGATTGAGGTGTCATTTTAAAGCTTAAGACCCATTGTAGCACATTCTTATATTCAGAGAATGTATAACGCTTAATATATATATATATATTAAGTGGTTGGTGACCTCTTTTAACCTTGCATTTGCCCGTCCACATAGACTACAGATCTGTGCTTGGAACGTATCCAGCAAAGCAAGGGGTGAGCCGGAAAAGTACGAAGGTGAACTGTACTGATAAGTTTTTGTGGCAGTGACCAGGATCCGAACCCACGACATCACTGCCTTGGGCCCGAAGTCCGTGACGCTACCACCTGAGCCACCGACTCACCTTTAATAAGTCCTAACTTAATTGGGAAATTCTGCCTTAATACAAAACTTGTCAACTTATGTCCATAAATAAGTGTTCAAAATATCCATTTATAAGAATAACATACAGGAAGTGAATATTCAGGTTTCCTGCCAATAAAATGTTGAATGAAGCTTTTTAAGGTAGTATACAGAATATCTTATCTAGATAAAGTAACATGCCGAGTTTAATTAAGATGTGTAAAGAAATAACTATATTTATGACATTTTAATGATTACCAATAGGACAAATAAAATTGGTACACTGTAAAGTGTTTACCTCTCAATACCTCAGTAACGAACAATCATAGAGCAATAAATCAAACTACTTATTTTTTTCGAGCTAAATCAGAAGCTGCAATGACAAAAAAATAACTATATTACAAATATTTAAAGACCTATATAAAAATATAAAACACACCCCCTCTTCTAATAGTCCGGGATGGCTGGTTTTGGTTTCTGGTTTGGTAGATTTTCCCAATGACCTCCTTGAAAGAAACAGATAGTCTTGAGAGGAAACGTCACTCTTTATCATTTCGCTAACTATTTGAAGGGTTGAAACTGCATATTTGAACACCTGCGCTGCCTCTCGGGAAAGGTTACAGTGTACTTGGCGGTAAGAAAATGTAATTTGGTCTTCCACCATATCGCGTACAAGTTTTAATTATGTTCCATACTGATCATTTTCTCTTTATCATTAGGTAAAACCCCCAGCTGTCATTCCAAAGGATTATTTGAACGTTTGAGAATTTTCTCTGAAGAAATGTGATTAAAATTAGTTAGTCCATTTAGTAATGAGTGGAGCGAAGCGAAGCTCTTTGGGAACGACTTCAATGCAAACTTTCGAACACATTAACGGCGGAACATATTTTAGCCAAACTTACTTTTGTCAAATGTTTGGAAGGTTTAGACAAAACAAACTTAAATTTATAATACTGCCTATATAATTAAAAGTAACCTTAAGTTTTTTTTTTATTTTAACATTGGACTTATGGGTTGCCCTGGTGCTTACATAACAACGACGTAAATGTAAACAAAACAGAGAATCAAAGCACATGTTAAAATTAAGCCACGACCTAAACACAGTACAAAGAGAAAAAATTCGAATGATGACTACTGGTCATCGATCTCTATTACTACAGAGATCGATGTCACTAGTTAACATTAAAGTCGCAATTTGGAAACGACCACTGATCGAATAGGTACAGTATTTTACATATTTGATTTACGTAGCTAAATAAGGTTATAACAAATAACATTTATCTTATGTTATTGGGAATAAAACAACTACAAGATTCTGCAGTTTTAAAAAACTAGGTATTCTGAAATCAATATTTTTTTTCTAAATATGCTATTATGAATATGCTTTCTTATTATTTACTTTTAAATATTTTTGATGATATCATCGTTTTGGTGACACACCTGTTGTGTTGATTGTTGTGTTGGCAACGACTTAGGGTATATTATTGCCCAAGAAGAGTAAAGTATTTTTTGAGTTTTCGTTTTACAAAAAAAAAATTATTCGCATAATAAGCTAATGAATAACCGAAGAGCCGTTGATTTACATAAACCAATTAATGAAATCAATTACAACAATGCATCTTGGCCGATACGTAGCGTAGCTGACCACGGGGGTAGATGTCCGGGGGTAGATGTCCGGGGGTAGATGTCTGGGGGTAGATGTCCGGGGGTAGATGTCCGGGGGTAGATTTACAGTCGCGGGCTGTTTCTCGATCGTGTATAGGCCCCGCCCCTCGTGACGTCAAAATGACGTAGGTGTTTTTTCATGGGGGTAAATATCCGGGGGTAGAAATCCGCTACCCCGATCTCACAACATTTATTACCCAAGAAATCAGTAAAAAAAATAAAGTTATGATAACATTCCTGGATCTTGCTAAAGCGTTTGATTCTATCGATAGGAATTTATTACTCAGAAAGCTAAACTTACTAGGTGTCAAAGATCCTTCCTTAACTTGGTTTGAAAACTATTTTTACAGTCGAAAACAGTTTGTAGCAATACGTGGAGTCAACGGTGACAACACAGACATTAACTATGGAGTCGTCCAAGGAAGCACGCTTGGCCCTCTTTTATTTTTAATATACATTAACAATATCTCAAATCTGTCAATTAAAGGTAAGGTGTTCCTGTTTGCTGACGATACGGCTCTAGTCTCCTCCGGGCCTAATTGGGACGCCGTATATGACAGGGCGTCCTCCGACTTAGGCAAGCTCAAACTATGGTTTGACCACAACATACTATCCTTAAATGTGTCCAAGACCAAATGTCTGCCCATTTACTTTAGATGCGACAGTGGTCCGGGCCATGGAGTACTCAGGTTGCACGGCTGCGGGGGTCCATGGACAGCGCCATTGTGAAATCATTGAGCAGGTCGAAAATTACAAATACCTTGGGGTCATAATTGACTACAAACTTAGCTGGGCTCCACATGTTGATTACGTCAACAACAGATTAAGAAAAATGATCTTCCCTTTTTACAGCTTGGTTGTGTGCTGTCTGTGGACCATTGCAGGTGTGTATACTTTGCATATGTCCAGTCACTGTTACAGTACGGGATACTTGCGTGGGGGGCTGCGTCTGCCTCTGTCTTGGCTCCTCTTGCTGTTACCCAGAAATCCATAATCAAACACATACTAAAAAAAGACCAAAGATACCCCACCTACCTACTTTTTCAAAATTTTCCAGTCCTTAACATCAGGAAACTATTCCTAAAAACAGTTATAACCTTTTCAAAAAATAACAAAAGCAAAATTTTCTCCGATTCGCTACATTCTTATGACACTAGATCTAGAACACACATAGGTATCTCCGTTCCCAAATTGAACAATAAAGCACAGCTTCTTACCCCTCACTATCTAGGCCACATTATACGCACTAATCTCCCCATACAGATAAGAGAATGGGAGGGAGACAGTGTCACGGTTTACAGCAGAAAGATCGGGCGCTGGCTTCTCGGTCTGAGCGATGATGCTGCCGAAGAGCTCATCAGATCCCAGTACAGAACATAATGAATGTCGATGACGATTCTAAAACTAAATTAGGCTAATAAACCAAACTACTTCAGTACTGGCACCCCCATTCAAGTACTTCAAATATTGTTCATGTTCAGTCTTTTTTGCCAACAATATGGCAAAAAAAAAATACTTCTTTTTATTTAAATAATTATTTGTTTATTTTGTTATCTTGTCTGTGAAGTGGTGAGCGACGGAGAAGACTCTCCCCACACGCAGATGTACAGTCTTTGTGGGGATTTTTTTCCTTTGTACTTTGCTTTACAGCCACGATTGTAATTTTTGTAATTTGTAATTTTGGAAATAAATATATTCTTATTCTTATTCTTAATATAATAAATAAATAATAAATAAATAAATAAATAATAATATAATATAACTAGCTGTAACCCGCGGGCTTTGCCCCGTTTAACTTCTTAATTTTCAAGATTATCTCGTTCGCATGGCTCAATCACGTCCTGGTTGAAGTTTGTTCGCTACGCTCACTCACCTTTAGGTTGGAGCTCGTTCGCTACGCTCACTCACCTTTAGGTTGGAGTTCGTTTGCTCCGCTCACTTGCCTTCAGGTTAGCTCGTTCGCTACGCTAACTCGCCTCCAGGTTGAAGTTCGTTCGCTACGCTCACTCACCTTTTGGTTGCAAATTAGCTGTTGTCATAAATGTAAAAGAAATAATAGTGTTGCACCCTGTTGGTAATCCTTGTAACTTTAATGCTATTGAACATCATAGAACAGAACCAACTTGTTTAATTGAAACTTTCAATTAAACAAGTGAAACAGCTGTTAAGATTCAATAATTCCATTTCTCATAAGGTTAACATGGGAAACTCCAGAGCCACTGCCCGGGGCGGAGCCCGAAAGGATTTTTGAAATAAGAATATGCCTATATGTTAATCGGGAATGTGAGCTATCATCATGCCAAATTTCAGCCCAATCTGACCAGTATTTTTCGCGTTCACTTGTCACAAACATACATCCATCCATACATCCATACATCCAAACTTTCTCATTTATAATATTAGTAGGATAATATAAAATATAAATTTGAGGAGGGTGTTTTTGCCCTCTAGTCACCTCAGAACGAAAAAGTAAATTGGTCCCTGGTCCAGGTCTTACCATGAGACCTACGGTAATAGCTTATTACCTATGTCCTATATGGAAATTCGCTAAATTAATCAAATAGGCCCAAAAGAAAATTGATTTTGGTAGGATGTGTTTTTTCAGCAAGTGATATAAACTGATTTAAATATTTTAGAGCTGTCAGTAGGCTTGTCCCTTAGTTCTAAATGTAGTTATTCTATTACTATATTTTTGTAAATTTTTCTACAGCTGAAAAAAGAGATAGAATCCTCTAAAGAAGAATTGGAGTCTTTGACTAGATCATTAAAGGAATCAATAATAACATATGAACTAATAAATAATCTGCTGAATATTCATTTAGTTTTTGAAGCTTCTCAAGATGTGAAAAACAATAGTAAGTTTTTAGAAATAGCGCAACAATTGAAAGCTGTCGAAGAAGATCTAAAGAATGATAGATTGGGAATCGAGAATATGGAAATTTTTGAAAGTTTGCAGTCAGAACTACAGTTTCATCAGCGTAAACATAGTTACAACACTGTCAAGTTGTGGTCGCAGTGCTTTGTTTGGAGTGAATCTCTCATAGAAAACTATCACAAGACAGTTAAACTCTCACTGAATAGTAATATTGATAATGAACAGCTGTTTAAAGCTCTGTACTACTATGAACTGTTGTCATTTGAGATGAGCGAGTTTAGTGAGAAGTTGTTCAAAGACGTGCTTTGTCCAGTGGTTTCTAATGTGGCTCAAGTAGACATTGAAGGCAACACCGGTCTACTTGTGAAAATTGGATTGCAAGGAAAGAAGCCTGCTTGCATTGATGTGTTAAACAATCTCACCATTGTGTTTAACTTTCTTAACTTGTATCTTAATTTCAAAGCCAACCAAGAGGTTAGTTTTATTTCAGAACTAAAGAAGCACATCAGTGATGATTTTTGTAACTTCTTTATAAAAAACTGTCTTTCATTAACTGTTCCTAAGAGACGTGATGAACTTCAGAGCTACAAAGCTCTTGTTGAGGAGATAACTGCCTTTGAGTTATTACTGAAAGACGTTGGTAAGTTATCAATGTATTAGTTTTCGTATCTTAGGTAGTATTCTTAAGGGGAGGCAGTAGGGTAAATATTTTGTTTGCATGTTTTTATTATTTCTCCAAATTATAGAGCTTTTCTTCCAGGACAGAATGATATATAACACTTTGGTGCTAAAAATATTTTACCCGTGTAAAAAAAATCTGGCACAAATGCATAGGCGAGGCCTGACTTCTTTTGAAATGAGGTTTTAGTTTTGAAATATTTGTATATTTTTTGATTAAATGTAAGTTACCTTGGTGATGTGGACAGCAATAGCTTTGAAAGAAAGAAAGAAAACTGGAAAAAGCTATTGGAGGAAAATATGGGGCTGAAATGTTTAAGGCAGGCAAAAAAAACGCATATCGCATATTTTCTATACCCCTAGGCCTAAGGCCTAAGTTATACGCCGTTTTCCGCAAATCGTTATTTTTGTCATGTCATGTACCTTTTCTCAGGAACTACTAGGGATAGGGAGTTAAAAATTTTACACAACATGTATGTTATAGTGTTAAACACACTGAGTTTTTTTCAGGGCCTAATTCCATCCTACTTGGTAAAAAAATATATATATATACGGTATCACAAGAAATTAGAACAAATTTTAGAACCTCCAAAAAAAATTGTTATCTAAGCTATTTATTAGTTTAAAAGCCTGAAAAAAACTCAGGACATGTATCAAAGGTAACAAAGAACTGACAACAATTTCGGAGAGATAGGCCATATAGTTTTTCCAAAAAGGTACCTTACGTTAGCATTACAGAGATAGGGATTCCGCCTCCCCTTAAACATAATGTTCAAAACTTTCAAATACTTGCATGTGTTCTAAACATGTGACTTGTATTTTAAGAATTGTCTAATGTTTACTGTCTGAACTGCTTCTTACTTGGGGTACTCTAAAACACGGAATGTGTATGAAAATGTGTATATACTGTCAAACAATTTACAAAACAATCTTTTAAAATTCAAACTTGACATAGAATACACTTGTGCTCTTGGCTCTCTTACTGTTCAGTGTTTAATATATTTTTTGATTTCGTCTGCGGACATTTTCTCATTTAGGGTTTTTCATAATTCTTCAATGTTGTAAAATCTTTGACCTTTCATTCTTGGGAACGAAAATATGTCTTATGACACGAGCAGGGTATAGGCTGGGATGAAATTTGTTTGAGCAAAAATGCTACAAACTCTCAGACAACTTTAGAAAAAATATTATTCTTTAAGCATTTTCAAAAAATTGTCAGTAATATTACTTGTTTGAACATTGCATCTTCAACTTTATTTGTAGTTGGTGACCATCTCAACAGATTGCACCACTCTTTTTTGGCTTCAAATTTTTACATTACTTGGGAAGTCTATTTTCTGTTATAGTCAATGCTAACAGAGATAGCTATATTGCCATTCTAGTGAAAACTTCTATAGCGATGTTTAATCTGTATGAATTAATTTCACCACTATATGAACGAATATTTTATAAGTTTTATTTACAAACGAATGATGGTGTGTTGTATCATAACATAGTCAAAATTAAATGTTTAACAAAACTAGCAACAGCTGTTACATAATCCTATATATAATACGAGTAAAGTTTGAATACTTGTCAACTCGATCTGGGAATCGGCTCTAACAAAAACGTTTATATTTACGGAACAACTAAGTTCTGTGTCAAAAATAAGTTCTAGACCAGTGGTATAGCCAGGAAAAATCTATTTTCGCCATAATATGAGTACAAACTTTTGAAAATTTAACATGGGCCTTATGAGAAAACATTCCGCCATTATTGTCATTTTGTATACATTTTAAGACATAACGTGACGTTCTGTACCCACGGGCACCTCAGCCCGTGAGCATGCACATATGGCCTATGTACAAAAGAAAAGGAGTCCGATGAATACCATTAAGCGTTGATTAACAATACACCGATTCGCATAATTTCTGGTGGCCTTACTGAATTATTCCAAGCAGATTATTTCGTTTAATTGTTGTTATTAGTTTTGTGGTAAATATTAGTCCGGAGTGTGGTAACTGTTTATGACGATTAGATTAAGGTATCTACAATCCTAAAATGCTATGGGAAGGGAGGTAAACAGGTCCGCGACGTAGGAAATGGTGAAGGAAGTAGTAAAGGTAAGTAGTCCGGAGTGTGGGAAATGTTTATGACGATTAGATTAAGGTATCTACAATCCTAAAATGCTATGGGAAGGGAGGAAAACAGGTCCGCGGCGTAGGAAGTGGTGAAGGAAGTAGTAAAGGCGAGTAGTCCGGAGTGTGGGAACTATTAATGACGATTAGATTAAGGTATCTGCTATCCTAAAATGCTATGGGAAGGGAGGGAAACATGGTCCGCGACGAAGGGAGCGGCGCAGGTCCGCGGCGTAGAAAGTGGTGAAGGAAGTAGTAAAGGCGAGTAGTCCGGAGTGTGGGAACTATTAATGACGATTAGATTAATGTATCTGTTATCCTAAAATGCTATGGGAAGGGAGGGAACGAACAAAGGAAGCGGTGAAGGAAGTATTAATGGTGAGTAGTCCGGAGTGTGGGAACTGTTAATGACGATTAGATTAAGGTATCTGTTATCCTAAAATGTGACGTAGGAAGTCGTGATGGAAGCAGTAAAGGTGAGCGGTCCGGAGTGTGGGAACTGTTTATGACGATTAGATTAAGGTATCCACAATCTTAAAATGCTATGGGAAGGGAGGGAAATAGGTCCGCGGCGTAGGAAGTGGCGAAGGAAGTAGTAAAGGCGAGTAGTCCGGAGTGTGGGAACTGTTAACGACGATTAGATTAAGGTATCTACAATCTTAAAATGCTATGGGAAGGTAGGAAAACAGGTCTGAAACGTAGGAAGTGGTAAAGGAAGTAGTCAAGGCGAGCAGTCCGGAGTGTGGGAACTGTTTATAAGGATTAGATTAAGGTATCTGCAATCTTAAAATGCAATGGGAAGGGAGGGAAACAGGTCCGCGACGTAGGAAGAGGTGAATGAAGTAGTAAAGGCGAGCACTGTGGAGTCTGGGAACTGGAAACCAATTGTAACAGTTCGATTTCTGTATCTGAAAGTGAAATACTGAAATGCTATGAGATGGGATGGAAATATGTCCAAGACATAGGAATTAGTAAATGCTAGCAGTGCGGAGTGTGGGAAATGTTGTTGGCAATTAGATTAATGTATTTAAAATACTAAAATGCAATGGAAAGAGATGACAACATGTCCACGACGTAGAAGGGAGGGAAACAATGACGTAGGAAATGGTGAAGGAAGTAGTAAAGGCTGGCATCGCAGAGTGGGGGAATGATTTTCCCCGAGCAAAGCTCGGTCTCCAGGTACTAAATATTAAATAAGTATAGACCAAAGGCATCACAGATGTGGCTAAGTTGACGCCACACTTCTATAAAAGCAAATCCACATTGTTTGGGTGTTAGAATTCATTAACATTAATTGAGAAAGATTCTGCTAGTGTTTAGCTGATGTTTCCAAGTATGATACATTTTAACCCTTTGAGTGCCAACGTCCGGGGAACCGGACGTTTTTAAAACGAGCCAAAAGTGCCGACGTCCAGCCGATGACCGGACGTTTTTAGAACGAGCCAAAAGTGCCAACGTCCGGCTGACCGGACGTTTCGTAATGATCGAACAGTTGTCATAACAACCGAATGGATACTCGGATTCTTTTAACCCATATATTAACATTGAGTCGAAAGTTACTAGATGCGATACATCGATTTTCGTTGGTCGAAATATCGAAAATTCGATTTTTACGAAATTTTAACCTAAAAATCGCCAGATCGCGCTCGGCATTTTTAGCGCGACCTTCGGGAAAAATCATCGGCATTTTTTGAGCGTTACTTTTATTTCTTGCCTGGCACTCTAAGGGTTAACTTGTCTTTTTTATCATTAGTCAAAGCGTAAGGAACAAAGGTGGCAACAACTCTTTTCGTTCCCAAATCCTTAATCCTGTTCTCAAACAAATCTGTGACTGTAAATTTGCTGACAAAAATCTGTGTCCGCACATGCTCTCAATTTTTTTCAGTATGTGTTGATTCAGGCAGTTGTTGGTCGCCCTGGAAGAAGTTCAACTAGTTACCATTTTAAACAAAAAACCTATTTGTACAGATCGGACAAAGATTCTGTGCGCGCGGACTGATCGCTATTAGCCGAACTAAAATATACGGGTGCCGGTTATTGGCAGTGCTGGGGGTTGGGGTGAGTGAGTCATGCTAAGTAGACACAACTGTTATCACAAAATTACCCCTGGGATATAGGATACTAATAGAATACAAATAATGCAGCTATTGTTACTCCCACGTAGGTAAGGCAGGTGATCATATCCTGCGGTGGTGGAGACATTATCGTCGTCTTCTGGGAACACTGCAAAATCCTGAATATCTTCCTTAGGCACAGAAACACCATCATCGTCTCCTGCCATCGCGGCAATAATCACAAAGATCTCCGGTCTCCCACGGTCATGTGGAAATTATCGTAGTCTTTCGCAATTGTGGAAACATTCGGAGTATCTCCCACGGTCTTGTAGACATCACTACTGTCTTCGCGGTCTTGTAGATATAATTTTCTTCTCCCACGATGACGAAAAATCCCCCTTGTCTATGAAGACATTGTCATTGTCCCTCGCGGTCTTGACAACATCCTGAACAGCTCCCGCAGTGGTGTAGACATTATCGTCTAAATCTGTAAATTCTTATCATCTCCCGCGGCCGTGAGGACATCATCATTTCTCCTGCTCTCACAGAAATGTCATCATCGTCTTGCGCAATCGCAGCAAAAGCTTTAATTTTCCAATCACACAATCTTTGCAAAAGTATCTGGTATCGGGTATCGGTATCGGAATCCACTTTTGACAATCGATTCTCTATACCTATACTGACGTCGAAGTATCGGTGGTATTGTTAGACTATCAGACAGAATCAACACATCCTTAGTATATATATATATATATATATCCCCTTGTAATCTAGTCAATCTAGAGTAAAAA